ATGTTACTCTGTGTAACAATGGTACAATACTTACTTAAAATACTGAAGAACAGAGTAAGTACTTCCAGAAACACTCTCAGTCCATACAGATTTTCTCATCAGTGCCATACAGGTTATGTTGGCCCTTTCTAAAATTAATAAGTGAATTCAGCAAACTTGAGTTTTTAATGCCTACTTGGGTGGCATTCTTCAGGGATGGCAGGCTATCCAAGATATAGCGTTTGATGAACTTACTTAAAAACACAGTGAACCAGGTTGTGACAAGGAATTATTCTGTGGGCATTTCCCAAGGGCTGCAAAGACACTAACCTTTGAATATATAGGATTGGGGGGGGGGGGGGGGGGGGCGTACTGTATCTATTGTGCACTAAGCCTATGAAAGATTTACTACTGAAGCAGCTCAAATAGACAAAAGCCATTTCTTAGTCATTCATTATAAAACAAGCTTAATTATGCTAGGACATATTGACACTACATCAGATTTTTTAATCTTCAACATAATTTTATAACCATTGCTAACAGATGGGCTGATTATACTGAATTAGAGTTTTAAGTAATAGTTAAAAATTATAAAATATGATTAAACTGAAAATACCCATACGTGCATAATTTTAGAAGCTACTGAAAGAAAGAAAAACAGCGTGCAATAAAACCTCTTTTCTGTGTCCTGAGGGAAATATGTTGCTTTTAGGTGGACAGTCATAGAAGTTCCTTAAATTACTGTGTAAGTAAGTAGTATGCTATTGGCAGCTCCTGCTCTGCGCAATTACAACAGATACGCAGAACCTTATTCTTTGCAAAGGTCTGCTGCTCTCTGCCAGCATAAAAGGAGTAAATTTTTCTATTTCAGAAGCATTTTCATTGAAGCAACTGCCTTCCCCCCACTATTTGTTTTTTTTTTAATCATTGTAAATGGAAGCAAGGAATAATTTTTCTTGTTCCTGTTCTTTAATAACAATAAAAAATGGGAAATTTGTATAAAATAGAGGGACAGCTTTGTGGAACTAATGGATGTTGCATGTGAAATTTGAACAGAATATTTCTTTTTTTCCCCCTCTGTTTGCCAGTGTACCATTTCAGGGGTACTAAAGGAAAAATAATTTGGACATCCCTCTCCCTACCATTGCTCATGATACACTGGACAGCTGTTTCATATCACAGTGAAGATAACAGGTCAGAGGTGATCAGTATCCTGAATTCTGGAATAGGAGAAATATAAAAATGAAATACTTTTTATTCTCCTATCAGTTCTACATATTGCAAAGAGAAAAAGAGCACAGTAATCCTTTACCCACTCATGTCCTGGGACAGTCCTCTAGACAAGGAGATCAGAGTAGAAAATGCTTACAAGGCATTGTGGCTAGAGGTACTAATGAATTTCATGTACACCAGGTTTACTCCGGCTCCTTTCAGAGATATAAAAAAGTTGGTGATATTAAGACATTTTTAACATACTTAATTACTGTCACCACAGGCTCACCATCTTTCAGTGCAGTTTAAAAATATATATATATTAAATCTCGGTAAGCTTTTTCTCGCCCCATGCCCAATATCTCCAAAAGCGTGAAAGCAGCAGCACTGCGGTGGGGTAAGACAGATTTTTTTCTTGAAGGCTAATGTTGAACTTGTGAGTATTTCACAAGGTCTGTGAATAACGTTCGGGGCTCTGAGGCCAAAAAACCCCCAAGCCTGCTTGTTAGAAAGCGTAGATTCTTAAAACTGACAGGTAGGGTGCTCTTTACTTGTATTCATACAAAGATTACCAGTTAGTGATCTTCACAGAGATTTCCATCAGGAAAATGCACATTTCTGTAATATTGTGCACATGGTCAGAGGCTAACTGAAAATTCTTCATGGCAATCCATTTTCACTGTACAATAGCTCCACAAGTCATGGAAGCTGAGACTATGCCACACTCATGCCATTGATTGATTTAAATGAGGAAACCCCTGCACAGGCATACCTCCACACTATCAAGATACATAGCATGATATTAGCCACAGCATTAAGACGGGGGAAATGGCCATTACCTTCTAGAACAGCTTGAAGGATAGTAGCCAAAAATCCTCCCATTGCTGTAAAGTTGTAATACTGCTGCTGGCCAGAAGAAAGGAATCTCTCTCAAGACATCTTGCAGGATGAATTATGTGCAAGTGACTGACCAAAACGCCAACATCCTGAACATCCATGTTTGTGGCAGGCACCTTCTTTAAGGCCTGGCATGCTTCTTGAACGGTGACTCCCAGTAGCAGACTGATTGGCAAAGCTGCTGGCTGTCAGCAGTTGATGACTTCAAATGGCAGCTTCTGTTGTCTTTGCTGCGATGACAGAGCTTGTATGAGTGAGTTACCAGTCTCATTATTATATAGAGAGTGAGCTTGGTATTCATCTCTAGAAAGGTGCTCTTGGGATATGCTTTGGTCATCTGCTGGCGATCATCTCAAATATGAAGTATGCCCCTTTTCCAGTAATCAATATAATTGTCAGAAACTCCCAGGAGCCTTCCTCACTAGCTTTCCTGTCATACTCACCTGAGAGATGGTGAAAAACAGGTATGTGAGCTGTATTTATTTGTGGAGAGCAGGTCATCCTGCAAATGGCAGCAAAGACATCTGCCCAGTGTTGGCAGAAGCTTCTAATAACTCACTGCCCACTACTCCTGAAAAACAAAGACTCCAAAAACAGGCAGGGCAAGGCAGTGAAGCATCTATCCCGGAAACAGTATCCTGTTCTGATACTTCCTGGATTTCCCCCTCTACAGCCTTAGAAACAGATGTCTGAAATTGTCTGTGGCAACACCAACAATACAAAGAGGCTACGATCTCCTGGTGAGCCTCTGAGATAGGTCTATGATTTGCTAGTAACCCCAGAAATGCCTCCTGGTGCCAGCTCAAATTGTAAATGCTTACAAACCACCTATACACAATGGCAGCAAAACTACTCTGAAGCAAGAGGTCAAAGTCAAATAGGGAATCACTGAGGTCCCCTAAATTCTTCTTGGTTACTTTCCAAGTTCACTGCACACTTAACTGTTGGCTAAACCCTAAGGTGACATTTCAGCTGACACAGGGACAACCATCCAAGTTCCATGCCACCAGGATCTTGAGCCCTGCAAATCTCCTTTCACACTTTTCCTGTTTGGCCCACTGGGCCCAATCCAGTTTTCCCAGAACACACCTACCAACTTCAGACCTGCACAGAGAGAATAACCAAAGCTTAGCAGGGGGTGAGTTCCTTCCCTGCAGCCAAGGTCAAGGATGCTCACCAGTTGGTGGATGTCTTATTTTCAGATTCCCTCTCTATGTGACTGGGAGCAAGGCTCTGCCCTACTGCTTACTAGGCAAAGCAGAGACAGCATGCTCTTTCATGAGAAAGGAAAAGTAGGCTTAAATTGCCTTAAAAAAAGAGGCAGACATTGGACATATATGCAGATGAACTGCTCCTATCAGTGATAGCAACCAGTGTAAAAGCCTCTTTCCAGTATTCCCCACCATCTAGCTTAAGCAGCTCCTTATGTACGGCTCTAGGGATGCCATGCATAGGTGCACTGTAAAGGGAACGTAGACATGTGTAGTGTTTTTAAACCAAACTGTTCCTATGCAAAATAACGTGGAAAGGTTTAATCCAAATAATATTCAGTGTCCTAAGTAGACTTTATGGAGACGGCATCTAATAAGACATCATACATAATTATTTGTTTTAGTTCACGGTGATATGCAATCCTTACTTTTCTTATACTGTACTTAAATTCACCAGTTTCTTTTTTTCCTCCTCAGTTTGGAGAGTTGTTTTGGTATATGCTCGATAAGTCACTCTAGAGTAACGCTCTGCAAGCCTTCATCTCATTAATATTATCAAAACTGTCAGTCACATCTGCACATGTCCATACCAAATAATTAGACCAAACCAGATTGCCCATTTGGCAGTGGTTGATGAATACAATACAAAATGCTTTATTTCTGTTCGCATTAACTTTTTGACAGAGAAGAATGATAATTTGCAAACTGTTTAAATTAGTTTCTCATGCACCAAGAGCTGTTTCACATTTGCATAAAGCTCTGTTGCATTTTCAGAAACTTCTAAACGCTACAGACAGTATTAAATATGTCTTTAAAAATCTACTAAACACATCATTAAACAATTTGTTACAGTACCTATCTGCTCTATCCTTTAGAAGTCAAAGGTTTTACTTTCAGGAAGTAATATGACAGTCAGACATCTGTTCTGTTATCCACTGTGTGCTGAGACTCAAATTTCGAAGGCATCTCTATTAATCTCACTTGGAGAGGTTTTTATTTTATATACACACACACACACACACACACACACACACACACACACCTACACACACAGACACACATAGATACGTATTTTCTTTTTAAAAAAAAAGCTTTTTAGAAGTACAATCCTCCTGAGATGAATAAAACTCCTCCCAGGCACAGAAGCTTACAAGTAGCTACAATGCAAGTTCAATAAGTCACTTCCATAATGAAAAGAACCTCCACGTTCTGCGCTATTAAGTAGCCTAAAGAGGCTTTTAGTTACTGCATTATCTGAAGTAACGATAGCTGATTTAGGGAAAAAGATTATCTATTTCGACTTGGTAAGATTACTGTAACGAAACAGAAGCTGCTCTGAACAAGATTTTAGGGATTTTTTTCTAGAGTTTTTAGACAGAAAAATAATCTTTCCTTCCCATTAATGCTGTACAGTTAAAATCTGAATAACTTTAAATTAGGCACCCTGTTCACCAGTGTTGCCATTAGGAGCAAACTTACGACTCCCAGAGTCCAGTAAGGAGTTGCAGAAATACAGGTCATTGAGTGAAGTGAAAAATTTGAATTCTATAGGCATTAATGAAAGCCCCCTGGGAACTTTAAAAAAAACGCAGAAAAAGTTACAGAGCTAGACCTGGTCAGACCCAAAAGATAATCCATAATACAGCAAAATATTTGAAAAATCCAGCTTTCCAGGCAAAGAGAAATAACTACTAGCCTACAACGAAATTAAATTAATTTCCACAATGAGTACTTTTTTTTAAAGTCCATCTGTCCTCTCTTCTTTTCTCCTCCCACCATTTACACACAGTCCAAGTCAAATGGATATTTAATAGTGTCATGAATATTTTAAAATATCATGGTATCACTGTACATTCTGGGTTAATTTTTACAAATGTGATGTTAAAAAGGAAAAGAAATTTGAACCTACCTTTTCTTACATTACCCACAAGGACAACAGAAGAGATTTTACATTGCAATCTGAAAGATTTTAATGTTTCGATACCAGAGGAGGGTAGGACAGCTATATGAATTCTATGCAGACATATACACAAGCCCTCTCTTAACATAAGATAGCTCTAGCATACTGTTCCAATTCTTGGTGAATGCATGAATGCACCGTGTTTATCAAGTTCAGTACTAGAGATCACAGTGTGTCTCGCTCTGCTAAAATTAGAAGTTAAGGAGTTGTAATTTTCTTAAGAACACGCTGAACTGAGGAGGTTTCAAAAGTACACTGTTAAGAGGGCCAAGTGAATTGAAAATGTGAGTTGAAATGTGAATTGAGTTTTGTGAAATCACTTTGGTCCTTTGAAATTCCACCTTGTATGCTGCAATACAGGCTCTTCTGCTCACATAAACATTTTAACATGTAATAAATCTGCCATGTCTTTCAATCGTCATTCAACAATATTTTGACAGTTACTCTTCATATGCATGACAATATTCAAATACCACAGAAATTATTAAAATTAATATATTAAAGTTTAAAAAATCCCAAATTGATAAATGTATTGCAATTGTAAAGACAGTGTGTTGTGCAGTGCTGTTTCAGGTATTAACAGTGTGAAAACACTCAAGAGGAGAGGATTAATCGCCAGCACGCTCCTAATTTGTCTCATCTTCCAGTTTTTGTATTTCATTTTGTCCAGCCTCCGTGAGGTGAGATAAGAGTCTTTTATAGGCCTCTCTGTTGAAAAACAAAATAATGTAACATGTTACTTAATCTCACACAACTTTGGAGTAAAAGCACACAATTCCCAGATTGTTTACCTATTGGGATATTAAACCAGAACGTATGAAAGAGAAATTTTTTATTTTAAAACATGCAGTTATCAAGGCTCAGAGGAGATCTGCATTCAGACTTCATCACATTCACTATCTCTTTGATTTCTGCATAGGAAATCTCCCTGTGACTCTGGCGACAGTACAGCGATGGGAACCCCTGGCACTAGAACGCAGACTGGCACTGACACAGATATAGACTGTCGCCTTCAACAGAGAGCTCTGATTAGTTTTAAAATAAACCTGGAATTCAGAAGGGGGCTGTCACTCAACTCGATGTTCCAGCAGAGCGCATATGTGTTGGTGAGGTTTTTCACCTATAGTTTGTTGCAATACTCTCCAACCTAGACTATATCATTATTGCTAAAGTACTGCCTCTGACATTGCAGTAAATTCTTTTTCATAAAATATTAACTTGAGCAAACAAAATGGAAGATAAGCATTTCCTGAAGTTTTCATACTAGCTCCTGGCAACAATAACACTGGGCATTGCTGCTATAAGCATCTAATTAAATTTCTGCCCTTTGTTTCTCTTATATACACAGGTTTTGACTTTCATGTCTACAGTAATTCCACAGCATATGTTAATATAATGTTATAATGGCCAGGACTGAAAAGAGAAAATCAGTTATTAGTGTGCTTACACTGAAATGTTCATGGAATACCTCAGACTGCTGGGTAAGGGAGCACAGTCTAAATACAAATTATTAATACAGAACATCAAGAACAGATTTGATAATGTATATGTTAAGGGATACAACTAGAAGAGACTTGGCTGTGTTTTAATTCCCAAGCATATATTTCAGGAACTTCAAACAACCTTTTTTTCCCCGTGTTTTGTAGGTAAAGGGATGAACTTTGCCTTATTGGCAGTACGAACCTAATATATGAAAGTCGGCTATGAACTACATTACCAAAAGGACAAAAGCAGGTAGTATGAAAATCCTGCCCTTGTCTGACGTAGTGTGAAATCCTATAAATAAAACAAACTATTTTTTGGTGGAGGGTAATAAAAAGCAAATAATATATGAAATAATTATGAAATCACAAATTTCATTTGTAATTATTAATAAATGAATTATTTTTCCCATTTAATGGAAAATTAATACTCCTTGAACACCCTTTAAAAACCCATGAGTTATACTCTTGCACAACTCTATCTTTTTCTAACCCAGGCCTTGCTGATGTTTATGGCAAAGCTTCTTAAGGCTGTGGTGCGGACCAGGATCCCATCCTCTGACGAGCCCCAGTGTGTGCATTTATGTAGTCACTTAGGCCAGCCCCTGGCCTACAGCCACAAGGCGGTCAAGTGCCAGTCTTCCAGTTAGCAGAATTAACAGAAAGACCTCTTTCACTTTAGGGGCCCCACTGTCCACAGCTTCCTGGATTTTCTTAACAGCATTTATACAGGTGCAGAAAGTTCACTACTGCATCTGCACCCAGAGATGCCACCATCTGTGCTGAGCTGCTCACCGCAAGTGCCATTTCTTCCCAAGGCTAGATGGAATTCACAAATCAAATATTTCTGTCCCAAATTCTCTGAAGGGCAAACGGGAAGAAGTGTGATTTTGCTGTGCCTATCAGAGGCAGGAGACCAGCCTTTTCTGAACATCAAGCACTCTTGTAAGCTTATATTACAAGAGACCTCTTGTAAGTAAAAAATTAAGCCATGAATATTTCTTTTCCAAGCATCTCAGGTTATATCTGATTATACTGCAATTTTACATGTAATCTGTATCCTCTAAAGCAGGGACTTGCAGACAAAGAGACAAATTCTCTAGGGCAGGAATTCTTTTTTATTCTGTATTTTAGAACACACAGTGTAGTGGACAGAGGCAATCTGGCTTTGCGTAAATTTTTTTTTGGGTATGTAGACTCAGTGTCAAAATGTCTGTGAAAATATTTAGCAAATATGGATGGCCTAAAATCATGAAAGTCATAAGAGAAAGTAGATTTCTGGCTGAACACACTCATTTTTGAGTATCTGTGCTGCTGTCTAACGTTGCTTTCTTTCAAAAGAATAAACCTCCACTGTTCATTGTCAAAAAGTAATATTAAATTAAAAAAAAAAAAAAATCAAACCTCTGTGCAGTATTCCTTCCAAGACCTTGCTTGTGCTCTGAATCCTTCAGAGACTGTGTGATTGTGGGAATCAGGCAGGTAACTAATGTCTGATCCAAGACTGCTACTGTTTCTAGTATGCTGAAAACTCGATGATCATACACAGCTGTATAGTCCTGGATAAACTGCCTGAGGGGGACACAGAGGCATAGAATGCAAGGTCAAAACAAAATACAGAGAACATGCCAAAAAACAAGAGTCCAATCAGAACAAGCAATCTGGATCGTGAAGTTTTCATATTTTTACACTGAAATACTCTATTTGGAATACTTTACTTTCTCTAAATTTTTGCAGGTAACGCTGCAAAAAAACACATGTTTATTTCCAAGTTCACAGATTGTAGTTGAATTGGAAGTAAGACCATGCTAACCGAGGTATAAACTGTCCCATGAAATTAATGTATCCTGTACAAGGCAACTGGCAGTCCCACAAATGTCCACGCTGATTTCAGCAAGTCTCTTGAGTTCTCAGTTAGACATGACCCAACAGAGGCCCAGTGCTTATGTCTGCAAAATGCCTTGGGGTCCTTAGCTCACGCATCTCTTCTACTGTATCCACGTGAGAAATGGAATTCATGGAGAATATTATTTTGCAGAGGTATGGAATAAGTAGAATTTGCATTATGAAAAATTTAGCTATTTGTCACAGAAATCAAACCAAAACAAAAAATAAATAAAAGCAAAGCTTTTTATATGAGCGTTTGATATCTGTTACTATGCACTTCTAATTAGGCAGGCACCTTCGTTCTTCACGGCACCTAAGACTGAGCATCACCATTCACGAGGGATTTTTCCCACTGCAGTGGCAATATACCCTTCTCTTATTGGCCCTTCAAAACAGTACCTAATCCATGAGAAAACAGTTATGTTTCCTGCTTGTATCTTTTCGCTCTGGCTTTTTCGGCCAAGCCATGTTTAAAACCAGTGCCAGAAGTACAATAATTTAAGTACTATCAACAAGTGACAATGCAGTATGTTAAGGATAATTAGTTAATTGAAAAAAACATGTTTGCTGTCAATTGGCTTGCAATAGTTTCACTGCCAATTGGCATATTTTCTGGTTACCTAAATACAGAAGTCAGCTGGGTGGCATGTTCTCCTCCTGACCCTGCTTGGCAGCCTTCTACCATGTATTGTAGAATGTCTGTAGATATTTTTTTAACTGTAAGAGAAAAATCACAAGATTCACACAGAGCTCTTGAACTGACCATCTGGAGAATGTCTTCTATGAAGACTACAGTTTTTTAAAGGAGGAAAAATGGTTTAATCTTACTTTGATGCAAGTAAAATGACTGCGAAAGCAGTTAGTAAGATTGGCTATAAAGAACAGAATGAATCACAGATTTATGCAAAAGAAGTCTTATTTCACCACCATTATCCTTTAGACACACAGATTTTAAGTACAGTACTCTCTCTTTAAGTCAAAGCAAAGAGATACACACTCAATGGGAATAGAGATTTTATTTAAATTTAGGTTTTGTTTGTATTCTTTAAATCATTCCTATTTGAATTAAAGAAAAGCAGTCTGGACATTATATCCTGCCCAAAGGTATATAAATCTACTCCTTAGTTTCATTGGGAGAGTATTACTCCGAATTCCTCCTTATCTTCTTTCTATAACACTATTTTCTTCCACTTAATTTATTCCAGAAAATACTCCAGTTGCCAGACAGAGCTCTTCCTTTATAAGTTTGGAAGTGGGCTGCAATGACTCTTCTACCGGCGTGCGCAGCCCTGTCTAGGCAGGAAGTGAGCTGGTGGCTACAGCAGCCCAAGACATACAGCTTATTCTACTCTGCAACATACTGCAAAGCAGATACTTTCAGCTTTAGACAGATACGGATATGGCAGAAGGGGGAAGAAAGGGTGTGTGCTAATTCAGTTAATCTCCTAAACATATTTTGTCCTTGAAACTTCTACAGACCAGAATTAAAAATTACCCTAATACCTAAAATTCCCAGGAGAAGTCACAGGTGAATTCCCACTTTGCCTAATGCTGCCACAGGCAGCAAGCAGTGGAATTGTGAGTACACATACACATGCTAATTCACTGCACGAAGGTGGGGGTGAACAGAGTACTTCACTTTTTAAGAAATGAAAAATAAAATAAAGAGGTGCTTATCAGTATCAAACAGGACATGCTAAAGGAAAAGAAAAGGCTCAAAGATGCCTTCAGAAAGCAACACGTTACTTTTAATCCATTTATAATGTCTTTGTGGGGAGAAAAAATGCTAGACCTATTTGGTCTCAAAGCTTTAGGTGCAAGAGAGCTTCCACAGTTATCGATTGCAGGAGAAATGAGTTGGGGAAGGTAGGGAGAAAGGAAATGCTCTTTGGAGTCTTGACAAGGTTGATCTTTCTTTGACCAGAGAGTGGCACTTGAGTTCAAGAGAAAAGCAAAGCAGAACAACTCTGCCTTTTACAGACAGAAGCCCCGGACCACTCATTCAACTGGTAAAGCTCCTTCAGTTTATCTGGCCACTATATCTCCTTCACCTCATCTAAAAACCACATAAAACCTAAGTATCTGGATGAATAATACTCAGTAGTGTATAATCTTACGCTGTATTTAAAGCAAACAAGCAGCTCACCTTGCAGTTCGTTAACCAATACCATGCATTTCAACACAGCTGGGAGAACCAAGTCAATGTCACAGAATTCAGTGCTCTGGGTTCTCTGAAGAACTTCGAGAATGAAAGCAAGAACCGAGGCCAAGCGAGGAGGTGGAGCATTACCTTTGAACTGCAGGTAGTTTTCACTGGGAAGACAAAGCAAACCAAAACATAGTCCATAATTTATTTTTCTATTCAGTGCAAGCACCATATACTTTAAAATAACATTGTGGTATTTCAG